TTATGTATTATCAATCTCTGCAAATCTTTGTCGCACGAATGTAACTTGTAATCTAGTCAGACATTGATGAAAAATTTCACTAATGTCTAAGTCTAATGTGCAGGTTGAGAATCGACTGCATACAACTACTTTTCTTATTGTTATCATCGTTAACAGGTGGCGGCGGAGGAGGTTTCTACTCCAGCGGGAGAAGCTCAAAGCAGTTTGGCGGTACCATGGGAACAGGTGGAGAGGGTGGAAAAGGATTTCTCCAGGGAGGGGTGGGAGGTAGAGCTAATGTTAACAATGTTGTTGGTGGATTTGGTGGAGGTGCAGGAGCTTATGGAAATGGAGGAGGTGGGGGAGGAGGAGGAGGGTACTCTGGAGGAAGCAGTGGAGATAATGTGAGAGATTCTTGTGGAGGCGGTGGAGGATCTTACAATGCTGGTAAAAATCAACAAAACGAATGTTGCTATCGATCATCTGGCCATGGTCAGGTGATCATAACCGAAATGTAAAAAAGATAAAAACACCATCTATGGTGAAAAGCCCTGAGCGCTGACTGAATAAACAGCTAAAACAGTAGAATATGTAACTATTAGCCAACAAGACCCAAAAGTGTAGAAAGTATGGTCAGAGTGTGGTTTTGAATATATAATTAATACCTTTTCTGGCATCAATAAACCCTTGACGACTGATCCCGTGTTAAAACAGCCCTTTTCTTATTGCGGAGGCAAGCGAAAAGTGATCCGTTTCTCAAGGAAACAGTCGTGAAATTATTGGTATAGCACAAGGAAACAATTTAAGGTTGCAATGTGAAAAAAGAAAAAAATCTAAAAGTCAGTGATGAATTCTTCGTAGCTAGGTAAGAGGGCAAAATACCTATAATGTCACGCTACCTTCACAACACCTTAAATCACGCTCTCTTTACGTGCAACTGAGTGCTGTTGCCCCCTCATAGTCGCTTGACGGGACAGAATTTCATTTTTGTTTGGATGTCATATGACCCCTACGTAACCCAATAAATAAAATATGAGTATGGTTTAATTAGGCAACATGTTGTATTAATTTTTCTAAATTTTCAGTCCAGTATTGAAATAACAATATTTTGTAAGAGTAAGCCATCAAAATGACCATGTGATTTAAGAGAGCCTTACCAGTTTTCCATCGAAGGTTATTTGAAAATATCGAAAAGGTCGAGTGACTTGTATTATTTCATTTAAAAGTCAAATAAGAAGTCAAACAATTCTTTCCCATCAATGCTTTCATTTCGCGATATCCTATCTGAAGAGTGCACTTTTCAAAGTCTAGATTAGCTTTCCAGCGGTCCTTGTAGTATTCAGTTTGTTATTTTATTTTATTAAGCTCAAGATATTTAGCTTGTGAATGATCAACCCTTGAATTACTTTTTGAAAATATTTCATTCAGCAAGTATAAGTTCCCAGGGTCAGAGGACACAGGAACGTGCTTGTTACATTTATTCAATTACGTTTGTTTCCGAAAGAGTGGGAAGAAAATAAGAAAGGAGCCGTAAATTCTGTAAAAAAACGCTGTTTTCAGATAAGGAAGTAAACCAGTAACTTAGGATTTATAGAGAGCTCAATATTTCTTCTTGTTTTTCGTGTAGGTGTTTAATTCAGGTTAGTCATATGATTATTAAACGGAATAAAACTTATTGTCGAGTTTTGGAAAGTCATTTTGCTCAGTTTAATCGGGCTTCCTGGTTCCAGTAAAGCCATTCCTCTTTTTTTTTCGTTTAGCGTCGAATGCGTTTCCTGATATTAGGCCGGTCGGTCGGATTGAAAACAAAAAAGACAAAAAAACAAAAAAAAAAGTAAAAAAAGAAAACACAAGAGGTCTCTGGAAAGGAGGCCAGAAGTTTACAAAACTTAATTTCTTGTTATGTTTGGATTAACAAAATGCTCAATGCACAGTTATCTTGTTCCCGTTTTATCTTTATACTGTTGCTATGCTCATTTTGAAGGTAAAAGAATTGCTTAAGGGGGAAAATGGCTTAACATCCTCAGTGCTTCAGCTAACTAGTACATAAATCATTAATACTTTGGACATTGTGACAGCTCCAAAAAGAATATATCCGCTAAATGAGTTCACGCGACGTGACGTTTCCGACTGCCAAGTTTTGACTGTTTGCTTATTTATCACGCTAGATGCTAATAACATAATAGTTTTAACTCTCAAATGCCAAAATTGGGCATGAAAAAGTTGCTTTTTCCTGAAGTTGGTTTCTAGAAGAAATATGGAATTCTTTTGACTTCAACCTAGAATATAAAAGACACCTACTACAAAACTCGCGAGAATTGCAGAGTCAATGATTTACTCTTCCTCGGAGAAGTTACGTAATGTTAGTAATAATGATAATAATGATGATAGCAATGATGACGATGGTAACTTGAAAAAGTGCGGAAAACGACAAACTTTCTGCAGTAGCTCCCTTGTTTTCCTATTTATTTCAGAACATCTTTTCCTTGTAATTGCTTTTTTTTCATTGTTTTTCGTATATTCGTTTGTGCATGAAGCTAAAAAGAGAGACCAATCAATGAATAGTTCTCAAAGGCTGTGATAGGATATTTATAAACAGGAAGATTAAGTAAACCCCTGGCCCCGATTGAT